ATATTTTTAAAACACACTTTAGCATGTTGTTCATTGTGAGAACAGGCCCCTGTTAATTTAATAGAAATTAAAAAAAACAGTGTTGCAAAATTCTGCAAAATTCATAAAATAGCATCTGGTGTAAATGAGCCCATGGCTACACCACAAATATCACACTGCACCCATTCATAGCTGCCATCAATTACGCATGCCTCACATTCAAAATGTTAGGTATGTTACACATCACAATTGGCTTGGCTAGTTGTCATGAGAATAATCGAGGTGTAAGAGCTCCGAGGTGGCAGTGTATGAAGACCAAACTATATTTTAGCTCAGCAAATAATTAAGACCCCGGTACAACATCTGTACCATTTGTAAAGATTGCACTTCACTTCTTGCCCAAAAACACAACAGGAAGTTGGAGGGGATCCCTCCAAAGCTAACTGAAATCCCCTTAGACAGTTGTCCTCAGAACAGGTTTTCCCATTGGAAGGGGATACCCACCCCCATGTCCTGCAGCGAAGTAAGGTAGTAGCAACCACTGAAGGCAGTGGAAGACCAGGAGTTCGACAGTCCTGGAAATTTCAGATTCTGAAGATTCTTCAGTTGGCAGTTACTTTCCAATACAGCTCAGTAGTGAGGCTGGTGGCAGGAAAGGCAAATATTTACTTCTACTGATTATCTTTGCAGGGTAAGCTTTTCAAGCTTTCAATTTAGTGACAGATTCACTTTAAAGTAGGTTTCCATACTTAACATGGAATTGGTTCACTTGGATCAAAAAGACAGGGATCTTTCCACTCCAAAACTCGTCAGTAACGAGTAAGTTTGGAGTAGGGTTGGGATTGCTCAATGTTTGCAAGATCTGGCTCTGGACTGGCTCCAACAGTAAGGCTCCAGCTCCAGGCTTGCTCCAGAACCTATGCAAACCAGGGGCGGATCCAGAGTCTAGTCTCGGGGGGGGGTATGTCACCTAGGAACCCCCAGAGAAGCTGATGAAGCAGAGATTGGCTTCATCAGCTTCTGTAGCTGGAGAGTGACACTGAATGAAGGAAGTGATGTAGTATACATCACTTCCTGCATTCGGGGACTGAGAGAAGATCAAAGGGAGACCGTATACTGATCTCCCTTTAATCTCCTGTCACAGAGCCGTGCCGGCAGTGACAGCTGCTAATACAAGCGAGCGGGCGTCTCTAGAGACGCCCGAAAGCTTGAATGTAAAGCTCCCGGCCGGCCGTGTAATTACGTCCGTCCGGGAAGCTGCTCGTCAGGATTTTTCAAGCCCTGCCTCTGATCCTCACACACGGCCAGGACATACAGCTGTCAAGCTGTCACAGAGTTAACTGCGGTTCAGTGTAAAAAACCGGCATATTACTTGTACTGTGCCCGTTTTTTACACTGAACCGCAGTTAACTCTGTGACAGCTTGACAGCTATATGTCACGGCCATGTGCGGGGATGTACTCCTGTCACTGGTACGGTTCCGCGGGTGGTAGCGGCTCTATCTTGGGGGGGGCAATTGGCCCCCCCTGGATCCGCCACTGATGCAAACCCTCAGCTCTACCTGCAGAAACCCCTGCTCTGACTCCAGAGAAATAAAACTAATTTACTTAGCTGCTGTGCCAGCACTCTGAGAAACACTGTAAAAGTAAAGGTTTGTACTTGCACAGTATGATGTTCACTGTTCTGTAACACATTTATTTAAAAATGTTTGACTTCATTACAGATTTTTTTTTATTTTTTATAAACTTACTTTTATTTTATTTGTGTAAGGCAAAATACCTTCCTAAAAGGTCTCTTGAGTTAAATCTTAAAAATGCATTCAAGTACCTTAACTAATAACAACAATGTTGTTTATTTGTACATCACTCGGCTGCAGATCCCATCGAATTGGTGCTGACGCTGTCCTTCCTTCTGGAGGGTGGCTACTTTTGTTCCCCATGGTCCCTGTGTGTATGTTGTGAAGTAGTCATCACTCCAAGCTCACTCCCGTTATGGACTACAATCTCATGTTTAGTTTGATCATTTATTCTGAGATTGTAGTCTGTCACAGGAGTGAGCTTGGAGCTCACACACACAAAGACCATGGAGAACAAAAGTAGCCCCCCTCCAGAAGGAAGGACAGAGTCAGCGCCAATTCAGAGATCATTTGAGAATCTACAACTACACAAATAAGATACATTTTTGTTCATAATTACAGTACTTGAATGCATTTTTAAGGTTTAACTCCTTAGTTTAGTGTCTCTTTAAGGACTGGTTTACATTGATAAATGACTTAAATCATTTTTGTTATTGTGTCTATTTCAATTACAGTAACTCATATATTTCAGCGGACCTTTATAATAAATTTAAAACCGCCGCCCTTTTATTGTATAAACTTGGAACATGGAAGGTTTTGGAAGAATTTACCGCACCCCAGTCTCACTAGGGTTGAGAGCCACTGGTCTAGAGGAAGGTGCTGGAGGACAAATGGGCACAGTCCATGACTCTACTTTGTTCTGTGATTGGATTAGTGATGATGACATCACTGGTCCAGTCAGCAAGTCAGCGACTCTTGACAGCCTAGAGACCTAAGAGCTTTTTGAATTAGTTGAAGTTTCTGGCTGAAATTTGGAAAGTTTCCATCTATGGGAATATGCAGATAAGTTGTCATTGGGATAGGAACATACAGACACTGTTTTGGCTGGAGTTGGGTTCCTAAAAGGTACTGTGTGAAGCACTAGATTATCTCTCAATGGATATCCTCATACATTTAAAAACTTCTTTTCACCTTTTCCCATTTTCAAGCATTGCACACATGGAAATAGTAGAATGATAAAGAGTTCAACTGTAACATATTCACATGAAGGTATATCACTAGACATACACTGCATATTAAAAAATAGATCCAAGAAAGTACATTACCGCACTATTCAGATATTTGTTTTGATACTACAAAATGAGTTACATATTGATCTATGTTTTCTTAAATGTAAGACAGTTGTCAGCTCCAGATCTGAAGCCCTACCAACCGTAATGAGGGCTCCTTAAAGTAATAATAAAGTCAAAAGGTTTTCACACTATTTCAAATGCTGATTAAATCACTTACAATGGATGCTGATCCTTGATGTTTAAACGTTTTGGTTTATTGCAGAATCAGCTGGTCCCCTCAGCACTGGCCCTGATATCCTGTTTTTTGGTGGCTCATTTCCCTTGCAGGGTCCTATGGAGCCACCCTTGTATATGCTAATAAGCTGTGTGTGTCTCCACAAACATACAGGCACAGCAAGGAAAGCCACTCTCCTGCTCCCCACTCCTCCTTTTCCTGTATGTAGAGAAGGGCAAGGATGTGAGATGAAAGAGCAGCACCAGTCAATCATGAGTCAATCCGTTCATGTGCTGACGGGAAGCATGCTAGTAGAAGGAGAGAGCAGAGTAACAGAGAGATAAGCACATCACTGTGCTGCTTCTCCTTTCATTGTCTAGGGCAGGTTCAGGATGACTCGGGCTCAAAGGCAAGAGGTTAAATGATGTTGGCCATCAGACTGAGGACATCCAGCTGCAGATAATCTAGTTGCAGGGGAAATCACTGGACAGAAAATAAATATTGTAGCAAAAACTGGTTGTGTTATTTTATATTTAGCCTATTTATTTTTATCTTGTTATTTTTGGCTGGAATTCTGCTTAAAGAGCTGCCCAGCTTTTATTTGCACAGCTGTGATCACGGAAAACCCATTGCTCTTTGAAGATGTGTTTTCATATGATGTGTTTCGTATGATTTGGAGAAATAGGACTCCTACCTTTTCAGATAGGTATAACCTCCTAACCCCTTATTGACAATATATACAAACAATTTGTAACATTATCATTATGATTAGAAAACAATACCATAGCACAAACCTCTACAGTAGACAAACATATATATTTTTATGCCATCATCAAACATGGATAAACTGATATACATCAGAATCAAGCTTAAGGGAACTTGCAGAGCTATGTTTAGTGATTACCAAATAAAATACATTCACAGCGTCTGTGTTTTACTATCATAGCTGATTCTCAGTTGTAAAGCTTCCCCTTCAGGTTAAAACGGGGTTAAGAGCCGGAACAAGTCGATGGTGTTTTTTTTTTTTATCAGTAAGACAACAGAAGAGAAAGTGTTTTAGAAAACACTTGAGGAGCATGTAAGAAAATGACACAGAAATTTTCAGAGGATCGCAGTAGCTTCTAAAAGGGTTGGGTAAGTTAGATTCTTATCCCTCTGAAACCAGAAAAAAACTAGACATCTGTGGAGTATAACATTCAGTGAGGGGTGCCATTGGGTGTGTGGATGGAGAACTTCTCCCTACTGGGGACACACACACACACACACACACCTCTAAACCTTCGCTTTGGGTGACAGAATGTCTACCTCCCCCACTGGGTGAGTCTATAAAATATTATTTGCTCCCATATAGTTCTCTGATTCAGCCTTTCTCAACCAGGGTGCCCTGGCACACCGGGGTGCCTTCTGGCTTCTTCTGGGGTGCCTGTCAATCAGCAGAGGGGACCTGAAGTTCTCCATCAGGTCCCCTTCTAGTGATTGACAGCAGCAGAGGGCGGGTGCAATAGCTTGTTTGCTATTGGCTATTGCAAAGTGAAATAGCCAATAGGAATCTAGCTATGCATTCCTATGGTGTTTTTTTTTTAGTTTTTTTTTTAATTCTGACGGCAGCAGAACCGCAGGGCCATAGAAAATAGCTGTCACTGCTAGCACCGCCCAATCATTTTCTATTTTATTTTTTCTACTTTTTTAACTGTTATGGGATCAGAGTTACATTGTTGCATTGTTGCAGAGTTTCTATAAGTACTTCTAATACAGATAATTTGCCTACATGTTCTGAGCACCAGGTGGTGACAGGGTCTCTTTAATAATCATATCAGTTAATGCATGTCAGCAAAATGTTGAAATGCTACACCAACATAATTGCAGATTAGGATGCTTTCCTACATTTGCCGTACATCTACTGTATCTATAAAGAATGTGTACAAGGAATCTTCACTTACCGTTTTGTGTAATGAATCCTCAAGGCAGAAGCAGCGAGTGTAGCTTTGTTGCTTTGATTTTGCAGGCCACTCTATCAGGTTGCTGTTCTGCACATTTTCTACACCCTCCACATTGCGTCTGGTCTTGGAAGCTTCCGGACTACACTGAATAAGGCATGGACACATAAGTAAATATGCAATCTTTTTCTTAAGTCTACATATTAGTTCATAAAGCTTTTAGAAGGTCATTATTCTTCCTCTATTAAAAAGGGGTGACACAAGCAAAACATGAAAACCTTTCAGTAGACTGTAGGGTTAATATTGCAAGAATGGCTTCATGTTTTACTCAATACTGCCTTTGAAGTAAGTATTCACATAGCTTCTTTTGCCTGATAATTACTTGGCCTGCTTCCCTCTAGTTTTGACAATGACTAAGATGTACAATAACACAAGCACAAGAAGGAGGCTTGCAGATTAGCAAGCTATGATAAAAAAGGTAACACAGAATCTAGTCAATACCATCAGAATTCTCTTCTCAGGTCACAACAGCTAATTTATTCTAGGCCTGCTTGTTATACAGATCACTACAATGTAGCATGCTAAAGCAAGTAAACAATAAAGAATATATCAACCCATGAACAACATTTTATTTATATCAGCCTTTAGATGTGGTGGCTACATCAGTTTTCTTTTACCAGGTTAAGGACATTTGTTGCAAGTACAGAAACTACCTGTTGATCTTGGCAGAATTTCAGTGTTCTTGTAACTTCCTGTGCTCAGAATTGATATACGAAACAATGTTATCTGTATTCCAAGTTGTTTTTTGTGAATTACAAAACACCTTCTCTATGTATTTAAGATGAGAAGAAGGGAGGTGTTTGTAGTCCAAATCAGGAGGAGCTGCCTAGGCTGACAAAGCTACTCTGCGGATACACTACAAAGAATAAGTGTTGCCAACCTAGGCAGGACAGGAAGTGTGTTACCAGAGGGATGCAAGTAAATATAAAGTAGAAACCCTGAAAAGGGAAATTAATTCAGCCACCACATTTAAGAACTGTGAGAGAATACATTTTTGTTTTTGGGTTTAGATATACTTTAATTTTCTGTTTATGCCAAAGCCTTGATATTCTTGCTATATACTTCTGATATTGTTCAGATGCTTGTTCTACCTACAATATCCTCAATCTAAAGAAGAGAAAGCTTTAAAGTGTAGCAAAGCATGAGAGAAACATGGAGTCACAAGGTAGGAAGGTAATTAATCAGGGTAAATGCCCAAAGGGGAGAAACGTCCCTGTTGGGGGCTCAAGGGCCAGAGCTACCTGAAATATATTATAAAAAGACATTGTGGGTCAGCTGGCTTTGTCAGTATCCACTGATACCTGTAAATGTACTAAGATGCCATTTATGTCTTTTTCTAGAAACAGATTAAATGATCACTTTACTTGCAGCATGTTTCCAGCTGCTGCTTTAGTAGCTATGATAATGTATCATTTTGATTGATGACTTGAGCCGCTCCGTGAAGGGTATTGTGAATAGATGATCCAGCAGCTGTCATTGCCATGAACCCATTGTGCTAATTTAATGACGGACTCCATGAAATCTTGTGGGGCTATCCCCATACTGCAAGGGTTAAGTGCTCGTTTGTGTCTAGGTGGTAAAATAACAGTTATACTCACCCGAAGCTCCAAGCCTGTTAGCTGCCCTAGCATCCTTAAGACTATACACAGTGTATAGGCGTTGATGATTTACTGGACCATAGACTGCTGCAGAGGAGGGGGAGAGATGTTGGAAGGACCGGTCTAAGAAGAAGCCGGCTCGCAATTGTGGGTGAGTGTAGCTGGTTTTTTTAACATTGACACAAACGATCACTCAACCCTTGCTGTGCGGGAGTAGCCCCACTGCAAGGGTTATTACAAAACATTCCTGGAGTTGTTCTTTAAACATCGGTTCATAACAAAGGTAAACAGGAGGATATGAGGTGCGTGGCCCTTTCCCTCTCTTATTGGATCATTCACTTCATACACATTAATCTCCTTAAATTTAATACCTGATGAACGAACATGGGAATTCATAAGCTAATGCTAGTTTCTTTGGCCATTTGTGATAGAATTGTTACACAATTATGTTAGGTTTAAACATTAACTAAAAAAATAAGACAGTGTATATTTACCCCTGAAGGGAGGATCTCACAGCAGCCCTCCTGCATAGCCATTTGGGGATCACAGTATATAAGGAATTTCTGGATGTCAAACTGTAAGAAAACAATTAACAATAAAAATGAATAAGTAAAAAATAATTTAATATAAATAGATAATAAAAAAAAGTATATGCCGTTTTAAACTTGAAACTTACGTGGACAGGAGATCCAGTCACCATGTCCAACCCAATAAAAGTATACCCTTCATTAGATATGGTGCCCCTGGGCTCAATAGGTTTGCTGGATATGTAGCTACAGTCAATGTGGATAGACACAACCTCCTCTTGCACACTCAGCACTATCTTGTGCCATGCATTGTCAAATAAGGAATATACTCCATGTCCAGTAAATGTGCAACCAACAAAATCTTTGTCACGACCTTTAGCTTGAAAATCCAGATTTCTGTCTTTTCCGTTGACTGACAAGGATATCTGTGAAGTAGACATACGGTATATGGTGATTGTCATTACAAGAAAATTCAGTTTAGTTTATTTTGTATTATTTCCTTATTTCCTACGTCAAAACAATAGTGTTGTTCTGTGTTCAGACTGTATGATATCTTATGTGGTGCTTAAGTGATAGTAACAAACATTGGAAAAAAACCCATCATATAGGTAAAGTTCTGCCATGATAACATGAAATAAAACTGAAGGGTTTGTTAATTGATAGTTTTTTCCCCATCTCCAGCAACCCAGACAGAGTGTGAATGATCATGCCCAAGCTCGGGCAATTGAATGCACAACTTCCATGAGAGCCTTTCGGCCTGACATTTCTGATCTGACAGGGAAAGAATAGAAAAAAAGTAAATAACAGCACACCCACCTATCCCTGGAACATAAGGGTGCACTATTATAACAGCCTAAAAGTGGAGTTTCCGATTCTCACAAATGCCGATAGTTGGCCATTTCTCTTTAAGATCTATTACACATCTTAAGCTTTGGTGAAGTCTTAACTAGAACAAAGAAACCAGTAGGCATTGAGCCCTATAGTCTTGTCAGCAACCACAGCGTGATGACCTGTGCAGTGTTAACATCATCATGTACAAGGCTTTAACTAGATTAAAAATTAGGATTCAGTGGTTTGACATTTTTCAAAATGATGCTGAACCACAATTATTCGTTGTTTTGTTTCTGGTCCATCGTCAGAAAAAATTTAATTTAATGTTAATAATGTGTTCACATGGGAATCAATAATATCTATTTTACCTCAGTTCACAGTGTGCTTACCATGCTGTATTATGTTATGGGAAAATGCTCAAATAACTGTGTATTTGAAGGCCATAGAAGGCAATGATAGTGTATTACAGTGAATATAACTTTTTGGGTCACAGCTGATGCCGTTCGTATGGCACTAGTCCCTAGAGGGCGCTGACGCTGATGAGTATAGGAAGTTCCAATACTCGTCAGTGTCATACAAGTGCATACACCAGGGATGTCCAAACTGCGGCCCTCCAGCTGTGGTGGAACTCTGAATCCCATGAGGCTTTGCAAGATTCTCCCAGCCACAGACTTGACTCCCGGAGAGAGATGCGTCATTGGATTCGTAGTTCCACCACAGCTGGAGGGCCACAGTTTGGGCATCCCTGGCATACACCATTTTTAGCAACACAGTGCACGACAAAGCATGGCACACTGGTACACTGCAGCGCATGGGGGTAGAACAAATGGCACCACACTATTAAGGTCAGATAAACACAATGGCAAAGCACCAACTTTAGGATTGTGCATTTGTGTGAATCTGGTCTAAATGACTTTTTATGAAGTATTTGGTGTTTTTTCATCTCTGCTTGGCGTTCAGCTTTATGGGCTCATTCACATATTTGAAAAGGTCTGTACACCTTCAAGAAAGGTGCCCAGGAGTCACAGGTTTTTGTGTAGAGCCCAGCATGTACAAGTCTATGACAGGCTGAGAGATGCCATGGCTGTACATAAATCGGAGTGGTCACATGTGTACTGGGACAGATGAGCAGCCCCTGATGCAAACTGTTTGTATAGGCTGATGGCTGCGACTGTACACACACACCTATGACTCCCAGGTGCAGAACTTTGCACTTCATAAGCAGAATACAATCATGTGAAAATCCTGAAAATGTAAAAAAAGACTTTACGTTTCCTTGAAAAGTATTTAGATATTTAAACATCAGTGGAATCTGCTTTTACTCAAAACAAAGGAAAGGGTGTCTCTTACCTGTGGGTATCCCAAGCGGTCACCTATTTGAAAGAGGTACCAGTCTTCATCTGTTGTCTGCTTCTTTAGTAACACGGTCATCACCAGTGTGAACTCTTCAGGTAACCCGAGAGGAAACACCTGTCTGAGATGAGACAACAAAGGTTATTTCCTAATACTGGACAGACTTTGCCCTATATGTGAAGATTCGGACACTGGGAATCTATTTGGTCTTCAGTGACTTCATAATGTTCTAATGAAGGTGGAGAATGATGGTGTCACATTTCTGATAATTATTAGGAGGTTCTATGCTGGTAGTTAGGATCATCAGAAATGCAATATAAACTTAGATCTATGGAAGTAGAGGAGAGGACAACATGCACCACATCCAGTCTTTGTTGGGCCCATGTACAGCTCAGCCATATTCTCATTCATCAGTTTTCTGATGACTGGTGGTTCAGGTTTTGGTAGGCCGGCTTAGCAACAAGCCCATTTTAAAGGCATGACATAGACAAAAACTACAACTGAATGTCACTTTGTATCTGTGAATAGTAATTAATAAAGAGACATTATTTGCTGAAAAGTTTTTTTTTTCCTGGAAAAACTCCAAACTGTCAGGATCTTATGGCTGTGTCTCCATTGGGAAAACTTCTCCTCGTGATTTGTATGGTCGCCAGGTATAAAAGCACTTTTTTGGTCGGATTACAACCTTACTCTGATTTGTATGATGTTTGTGCCCCCATAGGGGAAACATCTTTTCACTTACAGTCACAGTAATCAAACAGGAAGCCAAAGAAAATTCCCTCCCATGGGAACACAGAAAGCAATAAAACCCAACAGAAGTTTTAAACCTCACCTGCTCCTCAGTCCAACCACTTTTTTTTGCGTTTTGGATAGAATAAGGAGGGGTTGGAACCGCTGTTGTGTTTTACTGCTATGTGGAGCTCTGTTAGAGAGAGATTTTCACTGACATTTTGACAGACAGGAAGTGAGGAGAAGACTCCAACAGCAACACAGACAGGAATAGAAATAATTTTTGTTAGTAGAGTAGAGCAAGACTGGAAACCTTGCCAGATTTGTATTTCTGTCTGTGTTGCTGTTGCAGATTTTTCTGCACTTCCTGTCTGGTGAAACCATTATCAGCAGGACAGGAAATGAGAAATCCGACAGGTGTTGTAATCCTTACCTATTCTCTAAAAAAAAAAAAGTTTTTGGCTTGACATACACTTTAAAAAACAGTTTTTGCTGTAGATATACATTTAAGTATACGTATAAGGGCTACTTCTGATTTTTGTCCTTATCACTTCAGACCTAAGGCACTCAAATGCATACTATATGTCACTTAAATTAAAGCATTAAAAATGTGTGTGTGTCAGATTGTGCAAGTCTTTTCAACACTCCCAGAAACAAAAAACCAGGGAGAGAGTTAAAAGACAAGTGGCGACTATTAACGCATTTCATGTGGAAGCCGCTTTAACCCACACTTACAGAAGTGTGTGTTCTACTGAGATTTATTGTTGCAGGTCTCCACTGAATATCCATTAACAGATCAAACTTCTCCTTCTTTAAAAAAAAGTGAGATATAAAACAAGAAAAGTGCAGACAGTTTGCACAACGCTGTCATTTTATTGGAACGGGTAGTCAAGGTTGGTGGTTTAATTACATCTCAGAGAATAACTAATTACACTTGCAATCTCATTATGATGCCAGAAAAGAACTTGGCACTAACTAGGCCTCCAGCCTGTGGGGAATTCTCTAATTCAAACGCGTCACTCTTGGCCATGAAAGGGTTGATCGTGTGTGACAGTACCTTGATTATTATAATAACAAAGTCTTTTTGAACAAGACCTCAGGCCATTATGGATTCACAGAGTAAATACAAGCAAGAAAGTCACTTTTATGGCCTAATCCCATAGCGCTGTGGTGTGTCCTGAATTAACCTCAGAAATATATGGCCACTCACAGGGCACACTTAGCCCTTCCACCTCTTGTTCTAAGAAAGCTATTAAAAGCAGACACTATTGAACTGTTATGCATTCTCTATCCTAACTTGTCTCAGAGCTTCAACATACGCATTAGAAAAAAACCGCTACAGATGTATATTTTAGTATTTTATAGTTGCTGCTTACATTATGTTAAGATTTATATGGAAGTCAAGTGAGTAGACTGAAAAACATGTTCACATTCAGAAAATAGTCCCATCAATATGGAATATTATAATGTCTCATGATAACACAGATTGCCAATTTTCTGCATGATGTCATCTGCCATTTGCATGGCGACATCACTTAAATCAATACGCTCCATGCCCCCCAGTAAAAAAAAAAACTTTTTATCAATGTAGACTTTTCAGATCATTTATGCATCCAGTCCAGGACCATCTGGGAAGTATTCCAAGGTTAAAAAAAAATGAAAACGCATGCAGTTCTCCATTGTGTAATGTGTTGGAGAGGTGCCTAGTTTGAGACTTCTCTCGAAGATCACATTTCAGGATTAGCAAGGGTTTTATGAGATGCCGAAATAGCTGCCTCCAGGGTATGCACCTACAGAACATCAATCATAAAGGCTGCCATAGCACTCGGAAGAGTAAAAGGTGGAGCATGATTAAAACTGTTTCAAACGTCGTAGGTGGACAAAGTTTAATTGATCATTAAACACAACTTATAAATTTACCCTGGGACTTCCTTTAATACCTGCTGCTGCTTTTCACAGTATAATATAACAACGATTATTATGTGGCACTCACATTGTCTGCTCGACGAGCCTGGCCCCTCCTAACCGCATGATCACAGGTCCTCTGGGGTTCCGAATCTTCTTTACAGAACTCATTTTCTGAAGAGAAAACCTCCTGATCAAATTGAAGCCTGGAAGAAAGGGAAAAATATTTCTTCCATTTATCAATATTTTAGCACTTGTCTTGCTTAAAAGAAACCAATTTCCTTAAAAAGGAAAACTAGTAAGCCTCAAACTGTTGTCATTTCGGAGTCTAGTTTTATGTGCTGACTCACAATCAGTATGCCTCCCGCTAATATTACAACAACAAATTAATGTCTCTCTGCAGGGCATACATGTCAAGACAACTCTACTCTCATCTCATAATATTACTCCTATCTATCAACGTTTCAAGGAACGCTCCCCTAATGTACACAAGGCAGCGTCAGAAAGCAAAACAAATTGCATATAAAAGTTTCAAGTATACAACTGAAATTATTTACTTGGCTGTTAAGGAAATTATCTTGGCTGCCAAATTGGTAGAAACAGAAAATATTGAAAAACGGGACATTAAACATAAATAATAATATTGAGATGATCAGAACTAAGTTATGTTATGTTTCCTGTATGCTTACTCCTATCAAGGGAAGCTAAATTTATGGGTTTTTAAGTCTGAAGTTTCTATCCTGTTTTTGGGGAAGGGGATAGCTTTGAGGTAATAGAAGACTGGAAAAATGTGTAGCAGGGAGCTGGAAATATTTATTTTCCTGGAACGCTCAGCTGTATTTACTTAGAAATAATTCAAGACAAATTGCAACCTTTCTTATAGATATTTTCATACCATGGCTGCTCAAATATATATTTAAGATATGGGAATTCATTCAAAGCACTCTATGGTTTTATGCTGTTTTGAGAGCTATAAATCATTACTATTTGTTTGTTAAAGTTTTGTTTACACAAGTGTTTACTGCAGTTATTTGAGGACATTTTTTGTCTGCACGAAGAAATCACATGCCTGTATTCAGTCATCATGCTGCCCTAGGCACACTTGTCCGATGATGCCTTTTGTTTTGTTTTGTGTCATGTGATTGTCTTAAGCTGGCTATTAATAGCCCACTGGGGGCAATTGCCCCATCCACACTGTATAGTGTGGATGAGGGAATGGAGCTTTAAAAAAAAAAAAGCAACTAGTGTATGGTCAACTTTTGTAAAATAAAGGCCAACTTTAGTAAAAGCTAATACTAGAATATTTAACTAAACTCAGAATGATGTGATGGTATATGCAGGACTACCTTTCTACTGTATAGACCACACAACAAAATAAAGAAGGCATGGTTTTATGTTGCCTAAATTATAAAAAGTCTTCTGACTCCTTTAAACATGCCCTGCATGTCTCAATCCTTTAGTTCTCTATTTGAATTTAGCCACCAGTGATCAGAGGGTTACAGGAGAGTAAGAAAAAAATTTAAAAACTGATCATAGTTTGTAAATTTGAGACTTGGTGCTGCTCCCCTTACCATGCTGCCCTAAGCATGGACCTATGAGTGCCTTATGGTAATTACAGCCCTGATCATAGGAGCTCTGGTCTAGTGACTAACCATATCGATGGATATCAGAGCTAGTGAGCCAGGTTTACTTCAAAGAAACCTGCCATTGATGATTTTTTTGATCCTACATCTCTTCCTTTCTCACAGCCTACAGGCAGTATAAATTCTTTGACATGCAGTTACATATATTTTTTACTGCCCTATATTTCAGAAGATAGACAGTTGCAACTCTTATACTTACTATGTACAGAAATCAGAAGCATTATGAGAAATGTATCCAGTAAGTACTAAATGTACTATATTTGCCTACTTGCTTTTGTTCTGTCTTGCCTTCTGATTTAGTTACCTTAATAAAATGTAGCCTCTTTCCCACAAGGCCCCTTCCCAGCTCCCTGCAGTATGATATGCATGTTGGGCATCAAATCACACAACAACGCTAGGGCTTCTTGACTGGCCTCCTTTTCCATTTGTTCTCAGTGATGGGACAGAAGCATTTAGGCTGTGGCACTACTAAATTATCCTGAAATAGTATATGACCAGGGCCAAGTTTCCCATCTTCTGTGTCTGCTGCAAAATAGATCCAGTTCTCACTGCAGATGGTTTACTCTGACACTTAGCACTAATCCAGCCCTAATTCAGGTTACAAAGTACAGTGTTTCCTGAATTTACTACTTATTGTTGCTTAAACCCTGAGGAACGGGGTGTCTAATTCCCCCAAAATGCGTTGGCTGTAGCTGACATTTCCATCCAAATAAACAACCTAAATGAACCTTCAAGCGAGATGACCATTCTTTAAGAGGCTCTCCTAACCACACATTCAGGATTTGCTGCAGTGACATATGAGTAGCCTCTTCCAAACGCTAAACAGTGCTGACCTCCCCTACAATGCACCTTGTTATCAGGTGTCCATGGTCTCTATCTTCCATCCTTGCACCCACTACCCATTATTAAACAATAGGGGATTACAAGTTAGCTTATTAGCAGTTAACACTTACATTGTAAAACAATTCAAGGCAACAAGTGACTGAAATCTATAAGCTATTGATAGTATCCAGGAGGGATGCACCGATACTGTTTTTTTAGTATCGAGTATGAGTACCGATATTTTTTATCAGTACTCACCGATACGGAGTACCGATATCGGCATCATGAGGTAGCATGGGCACGTCTTCCCGGCCAAACAGGAAGCGGGGTGGTGGGTCATGCCTGGGAAGTTGGCTTCACGCTCCAGCCTGGATTCCTAAAGCCGGCTCAATTCTCTATCCCAGCACAGTTCCAATATTGGGGTAAGTATCGGAGCATTTGGCCGAGTACGAGTACTCGGCCAAATGCTCAGTATCGGCACTGATACCGATACCAGCATCGGTATAGGTGCATCCCTAACATCCAGCAAACAAAACAACTTTTTTAGAAATTCAGAAACGTCACTCATTTGGCCCGAGTCTGAACTTTGTGTAACTCCCCACAGAATGTTCCAGGAACACCAGATTAAACACAAAAAGGGAATATGGTGGACTGGTGCAGTTTAAAAGTGTCTGAGTATAAAAATTAACTAATCAGCATATAGGCTATACCTGGCCTGTATGCATCTCCAGTTATACTTTTTATTTCTGTCTAGAGAAAAAGATTTTTTGAAGACACCACTGCACATTAAAGCAGCAGTAAAGTTAGGAGGGAAAAAGCCCCCAGGAGCTTTTAGCCATGATGAGCACATTATGGCAGACTTACCTGCCAAAGCGATCCTGTCAAGTGCTGTGCTCCTCCCTCACTGGTGCTGTCATCTTCATCTTGGTCTTCTTCCGGGTTTCAATTGGCGTGATTGGTCGGGCCCCAATGAGGTAACTACAGCTTTTATGGCAGAAGAGACTTACATAATCTCTCTCCTGTCATAAAAAGCCTGCCAAACGGCATTTTAATTTTTATTTATTTATTTTCCTAACCTCTGCTTTAATACCACCCTGGCTGTAAATCAATATTTTGCTTTTACCCTGATTCACACTAGTGGACAGTCCTGGCAAGCTATTTGACATTCAGATTTTAATTCTATTAAATCTGTTTGGTTTTCACTTCGGGATGGAGTGGTCCTTTAAAAACGGCATCATTAGCTTCATTAGGTTGTCTAGGTAATAAAATGTTAGAAGGACATTTGCACGCAGGAAGAAAAATATGTACTATTGTCTGACATCTTATTACCTTTTCCTTGGTATCAAAAATGTGTGCCGAATGGCATAAACCTTCAGAGATAATGATCTACAGCAAGACTAAAAAATACAGTTGGAAGCCAGCCTCAGGCAGCAAATAATGTTGTTGGTTAGCAGAGAACACTTGCCTTTGCAATGATACATACATCACAGCGTGTCACCTTCCAGACACCTACAAATAAGCTGCTGAGACTCCTACAGAACATTTGCAAGAAGAAAAAGCTGAAAAGAAGAAATAAGGCACAGAAGGGGATACGATTCTGACATAACAGGTTTACATTGCAGAAATTAGCAAATAATTCAGAGATGTGGTAAAAGGGAAGACGGAATATTAGTCAAAAAATAACAGCAAAAAATGAAGTGCTGCAAATCACACATCACAGGTAAATAAGAGTTTTAGGTCAGCAAAACTCTTGCTCCACACATACCCGTGGTATTGTTCATGCTTGCATCCCCTCCTGAGCTCAGTCCTTCACTCTGTAATGTTGGGCACACGTCACCTGCAAAAACATGTGTATTAAAGATGAATTCCAGGCAAACAGCTCAATACACACATAAAATACATATAAAAGCAGTTGTATTCCTGTCCATTCAGTGCTGAGACTGATGTGGACAGGAATGTGGACCAGATCTACTGCAGTTTCACTTTCCACTTACAGGACTCTCCACCATCACCCTGTGCCTGGAGAGAGACAGGAGAAGCAGCACACTGTTGAGCTCAATATTGCTGGTTGATATGGATTAGAATAAGGTCAACTGCAGATAAATACACCCGTCAATGGCAGACATACCAACATGAAAAAAATAATTTAGGGAGGTTCCCTTCTCATTTCAGGGAGGTGCCCTCTTCCCCATCCACCCCCATCCACAGGGGTGAGGGGGGGATGGGGGAGAGGGCACCTCTCTAAAATGATGGCAGATAGCAGAGGAGCTTATGTTATTCCCCTGCTATCAGCTATTTTGCCCGATGTCTGAATAACAGAAAAAAAAACAACAAGATAGCAGAAGAATGAATAGCTAGGCTGCTATTGGCCACTTCATCATTGAGCACAGCACTACCAGCCACTGTGCCTGCATGTGTGCCCATTGCAGAGGGCAGAGGCACTGTGATCAATGCTGAGCCTGCACTGTTCACAGGCTCCATGCCACTGGAGAGACTCAGTGCTCTGCCTGTCTTTGTGCAGATGTAGTGGCCGGGCAGGGAGCACAGTAACGCTTACCAGGCCCGGCATTACTGAGCTCCCTGCCCGGCCACTGCATCAGTCACACAGACTGCCACAGAGGCTGAGGAAGGAGGATCCAGTATGGATTTCAGCCTCAATACTGTATGTCTCCCAATTTTATAAGATGAGAAAGAGAAACACCTTCCAACACAATGTATGCATGCAATGGACACACCCCTGACATGCCAGCAGTAATGCAGAACATCAACAATTGATATGCCAAAATGATTAGTTTAATCCATAATTGTTTTTATACAGGCTTTTCGAAATATTAAACAAGATAATGAAGGAATTAGATAAGGGTTTCAGTGCAGAATAATAGTTGTTAAATACAATATCTACACATCAGATCAAAACGATTGACAACTGAGGAGGAAAGAGGGACAGAGGGATTTGGTTAAAAATCAGGGACAGTCCCTCCAAATGACTGACAGTTGGAAAGTATGATGCTGGTGTATGAGCACGGAGGCTAGAGTAGTTTCATGCAAACAAAAGCTCACATTTATAAAGCTTTACTGCTCTAAAGTGAAGTAAGAGTGAAAGAACAGTGCACAGAATGAATCACGCTGTTGTTGCATAAAGGGGAGCAGGAAGAACAGCCTTTGTTGAGATTATTAGATAACATGTGAAACAGAGCCTGCAGCTCCGACTGCTGCCTGGAAATGAGAATACAAATCATCATATAAAATAATATTCACTGGATTAAAAATAAAAACAAAATTTTTAAGATGCATTTTGTAGTGCAGACCATAATAAATACATTAAGAAAATATATGAAAAAACCACCACACATTGCCTCTAAGCTACAGACAGCTATTGTTTTTGTGTTTTCTCTGGTCATCGTACATTTTATTGAACTATTATATTTATTTAAATTTTTATAATTTTATTATGTGTTTACTTTGGTAGATTTTAGATAATAAACCAAAGCAAGACTTTCTCTGAGAATTAGGCCACATAAATGACAAAGGAAAAGTTATTGCTGCTGCTCTTGGCCCTATGAGTCAAGCAGTCATAAAACAAGTTTAGTTAGAAAGCAACTTTTACTACTAGTTCTTTGCTCTCCAGAGGTCTGACCAGAGAGGCCTTCACTTTTCAGTAAAGTCTGTCAGTTAGCCTAAAGGCTGTTCCAGAATTATCAGAAACAGCTGAAGTATTCTACATCACACACTGAATAAATCGGTCATCACTGAGCAGCACTAGTACAGATATTACAAGATATACTGTACTTCCCAATGCACTTTGTTATTTCAGTTAGAGTATCTGTTAGAGGGCATGGTCAGAATTTATAAGTATGTATGTTTAGAGAGGTCTGTGTTCCCTAAAAGGAACAGCTGTGAGCTGTCAAATGTACAAACCTTGAGCACAGTGATTTTTCTCTTGGTCTGGCCCCTTACCTAATGGGAAATAACTGGCCATTTGTTTGGGGCCACCAGGGCAGAGTAAAAGAAGTATCTAAGTGTCACTCCAGCTGGGTTAGCAGTTCCCTTACAGGCTATGAATGATTTGAATATTCTTTCTGGAGGTGACTTAAAATTAAGAAATATTAGGTAAAAATCTAACATGCATATATTATTTTCTTAGCCACTGTGCCCCAAAATATAAAGTAAACCTGTGACTTGCCTTTTTGTATTTCCTGTGTTGCTTTGCCACTCCCTTCTCCAACAATAGCAAAGAGAAGAAGCCCCGTATAAGTTCCGAATTCACTTAGTCAGAGCTTTCACAGAGCCAAGGACTCTCTAATTGCCTCCTTCTCATGTTACTGGGTACCTGGGTGGTCATTTGCCAAGCACTGTAACATGGGACAAAGGGGAGTAAGTTATATACTGCCCTGTACCTAGAATACAGAGAATGTAATTTTGCCTTCCCAGGTGAACAGAAAAGTGGATAAGTTAAAAAACGTGAGTTTGCTGAGCAAGGGAGTAAGGCAGTAAAATGAACCTGTTGTTTCGACATGCACAGACAAACCAACAGGTTCAGTTTAATGACAGTTCCACTATCTGCTTATACGTAACTACATTTCACTCCCATGCTGCTACAAAAAGTTCTTTGGAGGAAGGCCTTTATAAGCTCCAAGTAGCAACTTAGAGTTTACCCACGGCTGAGGATTCTCTTCCCTCACCCCCATGTGACAGCGCTGAGTGCCTGAGCAAATCACTAAGCACAAATGCTGTCACATGGGAGAAAATGGAGTAAGTCACATGCTCCCCATATCCAGGATATGTCAGTTCGATTTTCCCAGACTAGTGGAGCAGCATATGGATTGAAGGAAAAGTAAATATGACCAGGTAAAGGGGGTGACATTAAAGTAAACCTGTTCTTTTGTGCACGCAGGGCAAAGCAACATGTTAATTCTGGCTTTCTGAAACCTGGGATGCCTTGAAATTTTTACACGGAATCATGCCTTTCCATGGTGCAGGCAAGCCAGATGCCAGCACCATGGAAATGAAAGATTCTAATCCAGAGAGGGTGGGATCCTTTAAAAAAAGTGGAAGTTCGCCTCGGTCCTGGCCTGCTCCCCCCTCCCACCCTCTGCCATGCTTCTGATGTAATGGTAGGACTCTGGTTTGAAAGGAGGACTGAGTCGTAACTGTCGCTTCTTGAAGAAGTGGTCATAGGGACTTCTTAAGTTGTGATTGTTTTGTTAGGTGATGTTCCAGTTTCAGACAGCCTAGGACAAGTGCAGATGAAAACAGGTGCAAAAAATGTGCAAAAAACATGCAGTTGAAAAAGTAGTGCATGCTCTGGTCAAAACAGCTGGAAAAGTAGTGCAAGCTCAGGTGAAAACAGGGGCACATGTTAAAAGACAGATTTGCACATTAAAAAAAAAATTATCTAAGAGGCTACAACTGTCGCAATTGCTTTGATAAATTCCCTCCAATGTATATACAATTCAATGGACTAATGCAATAGACTCAGGACTCTGCAACACAATAAACTCAGGACTCTGTAGCGCAATGGACTCAGGACTCTGTAGCGCAATGGACTCAGGACTCTGCACTGCAATGGACTCAGCACTCTGCAATGCAATGGACTCAGCACTATGCAAACGCAATGGACTCAGCACTCTGCACCGAAATGCATTCAAGACTCTACAATGCAATAAACTTAGGACTCTGCACTGCAATGGACTCAGGACTCTGCAATGCAATAAACTCAGGACTCTACAATGCAATGGACTCAGGAATCTACAACGTAGTAAACTCAGGACTCTGCAATGCAGTAAACTTAGGACTCTGCACTGCAATGAACTCAGGACTCTGCAACGCAATAAACTCAGGACTCTACAATGCAATAGACTCAGGAATCTACAACGCAATAAACTCAGGACTCTGCAATGCAATAAACTCAAGACTCTACAACGCAATGCACCTAGGACTCTGCACCACAATAAACTGCACCACAAAAAACTCAGGACCCTGCAATGCAATGGACTCTGGGCTCTGCAATGCAATGGACTCTACAATACAGAATTTTGACCCATAAGTCTATATTATATGTAGAATGCATATGAAAATGTAAGCACCATGAAGCAAGTGTTCAGGGACAATGCAATATTAGTGAAATCGGATTTGCATTTACATTGCATATCCCTGAACACTATACCTGCACGCTGCATTGCATTTTTAACACATGCTTCTGTAGGGTCTCACCAACACCAGGGCTCTGTAGGGTCTCCAGGGCTATGTGGGGGTCTCTCCAGCCTGGTTAGACCCCTCAGAGCCCTGGCGAGATCCCACAGTGCCCGGGTTTAACCAGGGTTCTGTAGGGTCTCACCAGGGCTCTATGGGGTCCCACTATGGCTATGTGTGTTTTCACCAGCTTGGTGAGACCCCTCAGGGCCCTGTTGAGACCCCACAGAGCCCTAGTGAGACCCCACAGAGCCCTGGTGAAACCAAAGCTCTGTGGGTTCTCACCAGGGCTTTGAGGGGGCCTCACTTGGGTAGCAGGGCTCTATGAGGTCTCACCAGGGCGCTGTAGGGTCTAACCAGCCTTGTTAGACCCACAGAGCCCTGGTCTCCCCAGGGCTCTGTGGGGTCTCACCAGCACCAGGGATCCATAGGGTCTCCCCAGGGCTTACACCATGGCTTTGTGGGGTCCCACCAGGGCTCTGAGGGGGTCTCACCAGGGTAGCAGGGCTCTGTGGGGTCTCACCAGGGCTCTGTGGGATTGTGGGGTCCCACCAGGGCTCTGAGGGGGTCTCACCAGGGTAGACCCCTTGTTAGACCCCACAGAGCCCTGGTGAGACCCCACAGAGCCCTGGTCTCCCATAGGGT